AACGACAGCAGAGTAGACCTATTTTGCTTTTAAAGATGTGCCAAGAAAATGATGTGTTTGACTATGGTTGCTCTAAAGCCTACAAGGTTTTTAGTATTTTTGTCCCCCAGCAAAAGCAAACGCATTCCCTTACTACCTCTCCTTCAGGATACATGGTGGCAGTGTGTCCAGAGCACATGGGAATGTACTGCAGATGATGAGCTAGACAAGGACTCAGTGTCCTGTGCCCTGCCAGGCTGGATGGTGGATGTTTGGCCACAGTGCCTGTGTGTTACCAGCTCAGTGCCACATTTCGGGCTGAATCGCACCCAAGTCCCATTGTAGATGGAATTGCTTTGCACACACCAAGGATTTCTGAGCTTTCTGAGGAGGATGCTACATCAGATATGCAACTGTGTGCAGTGATATACATAAATTGGATATATGGCTATGTTAATCCTTGCTTCTCCCTGCTCTGCTGGGAGCCTGTCAGAGTCAGGGTCTGCCAGAGCTCTGAATAGGTTTTGTGATTGCAGCCTTCGAAGAGGGGGACGCTGCCTCCCTCAGCTACAGGATAACCGTGTTTCATGGTCATGCTGAGCACTTGAGCACATGTTTAATATCACAAATGTCTCTGTTTCTGTGTCTCTGTAGCAAAATACAAGTCTCAAGGTAGCACTTACCCTCTCTCAAGCACCAGAACAGGAAGGAGTGTGTTCATAGCATTACTGAGCTGGGGATATAAAAATTAATGGAAACCAGTTCAAATACATTAAAGCTTTTGTGCAACACTCATTTCTTGAGATATTATGTTATGATATTGGTTAAGGATGCCTGTGTATTTGTATCTTTTGTTCACTTGCATCACCAAATTAGGAGTTAATTAAACTTTTAAAGACAAATTAAGTATTATCATTGAAATGTATTAATTCCACACAAGTTTGGCATGTAAGTAGGGAACTTTGACAAGTAGTAAATGGTATTCTGGTTCCAGTCCACCCATTAATAGCAACCAGGAAACCAGAGAACAGAAAAGGATCAGATTCTACTCTGGGATGTATTACAGCTTGTCTTCTCAATGGGAATTAAGTATGTGCATCCAAGGGAGGAACTTGGCCTTAAGGGATTTGAGACACTTCTTTGTCTTTTTTTGTTTCTATTGCTTTTTCATCTTCATAACTTGTAGATTCTGCTGTGTTATTCTGAGACATAAAACTGTATTTCTTTTAGCTCTTGAAGATTCCTGAATATTTGCCTTCTATATGTTGCCAGGTCTTGTTTTGATATCCCAGAAGTGTTAGTGGGACTTGCATACTCAAAAGGCTGTTAAAAGGAGCCAAACAGACCATTCTTCCTTCCTTAGAAGTATTTGGTTTAGATATATCGTGCACGCCAGTTACCCTGATTGAAAGCACTTGTAGGCAGGGAGCTCATTACCATTGCAAAGCCCTTGTGTCAGGAGACCATTCTTGATTATGTAGAAGTTTTTCTGAAAAGAGGTGAGTGAAATTTGCTACCTGATACTTGGTTTTATCTGGTGGTGGCTCCACATGCTTTGGGCTGTAAGTTTGACTGTCAGATTTGGGTTGACTAACAGCATTTAGCTGTGGCTAGAAAAGAAGCTGGAGTAGGTGAATCACATTCAAGGTGATTGCTACAGGGTGCCCTCTGCTAAAAGCCCTAAATTAATCAAGCCTTTTCTTGACAATAAAATTAATAAAGCCTTTCTTGATCTCAAATCCTGCAATACTTTGTCAAAATCTGTCTTGAACCTTAGTGTACTGTGGGCAAAGAGAAAAGAGAATTGGTTGTAAGTGTAATAAGCCTGTGAGGTACTATAAAAAAAATCTACTGCCAAAGAAAGAGAGCTGAAGCTTGTTAGTCATCATAGGCAATGTAGGTCCTACCCTTAGTTTTGGATAAAAGCCTGTTGAAATTCTGTTGTTGAAAAGTTCCACTTATGTAAAATCCTGGAGCAGTATAGGAATTACTTTCTTCTGTTGAAATGTAAATTAAGAATACATATTGAGCTTTTCAGTCACATCATTTTGGCTTTGAGGTTGAATTACACAAATTAGTTATGCAGAGTCAAGCACTTAAGTCATGCACTTAAAGAGAAGATTATTTAGTCAGCAGTAGAATAGCTGAAGCAAATCACTGCATAAGTCCATTATACAGTAAAGGCTGAAAGTAGAGATGCACAATCTGAAGAACTTTGAATTTGCTTTGCTTCTTTGCAACAAGAAGGAGCCTTCAGAAAGGGGCCTCCTGAGGACTTATTTCCCAAGTATTTGGAAGTTTCTGACTGAGGTAACAGCTGAATGATTATCTGATAATCAGGATAATCATGGTGATCTGATAATCATGCTCATAATGGTTATCATCTGGCATTAGCTATTGAGCTGTCACTCATGTTCTGTTAAATAAGCCCCTACTTTTGCATGATGGGTGGTGGTTTGATTGTTATAAAGTTATATGGAAACATATAATGGTTGGAAAAAGTGAGATTTACCTTATCTAACTCTATCTGACCAATCTCCAGCTGGGACATGTGAAGTTGACTAGGTCCTTGCTGAAAAGTGAAGGAAGGATGACTTCCTTGTGCACAGGCTTTTAGATACCCCAGCTTGGGCAGATGATTCTCAGCTGTCACTCTCCTTCACTGTACTACAGAAAATGCTCAAATCACCTCCTTACACATACCAGTTACCTCTAACTTTCTGGTAGAATCAAATCATCATAATCTAGATCATTAGGAAATGAAATAATCTCATCTAGCCCTTTGGGCAATGTATGTCCAAAATCCACAGAAGAAAGCAGGCTTTTAACTTATTTCCAAATATATCTTAACTGGTAAAATACAACAAACTTACACTGATGAAAAAACTACTGTCTCCTCAAAGAACAACAGTTTTTTAGGCACCAGACACTTCCACCTAATTCATTATAATTATTTAGGATTTTCAGTAGTTTGAAATATAGTTTTTAATTTATCTAATCTTAAAACAAGTGGCAAATTAAGTGTCTATGCTCAAAATAGTCCTTAAGGATTATGTCAGAAGTGGTATTTTCTTATTTTTCTGACAGAAATGTGTTTATTAGCATCACTATTTTCAGTCATGTGTAAATGGCTGTAGGTGTGTTTTGATTTGATTATAGTAAAATACGCAAAAATTCTGTATTTTTCAGGTACCTGATATTTAATTTTGTTTTCATGTCATCCACATGAAAAGATTTGGAGGCTATTTTTTTTTTTTTGCACCGTTGTGGAACTAAAGGAGATACGTTAGGATAGAGGAACATACATGAGATAAATTTGCTTGAACATTGATTAGGGAACCACTAAATAGGTGCAACAGCCTTTGCAGTGAAAGGAGATGGTGATGGAAAGCTCAGAGGGAACTGCTGGATCTGAGCTGTGGAAGTGTAAACCCAGTCATTTGAACTGTAGTGTTATATGGTAACATAACTTGAGAAATTATTGTCTTTCAGTGCAATGCTCTTTGGTGGCTGCAAGAACAAGTCTCGGTTTTAACATCTCCTCACTTCTCACTGATTAGCTAAGGAATGTTAATATTTCTAACAAAGCTTTCACATGTAGTTCATATGCTGCTGAAAAGTAGTTTGACACTGTAACTTTAGGACCAAAATATGTGATCAAACAACATAATATCTGAGGATACTTGTGGAGGGTTTTCCAGATAAGAAGCCCTCCTGTCTGTACAGAGCCAATTGTTCTTTACTACCAGCTGTTCAGGAGAAGTATCATGAAATTTTAACAACAAATAGGCTTTTTAGGAACAAAGAAGTATCCAGAACCTTAGGGTGACCTGCAATTATATGCCTTCAGCTCATTATTTCAGTAGTAACATTTTGTGAAAGATTGGATGTGAATATATCCTGTCTCTTAATGTAAATGCAGGAAAATTTATAAAATATCTGAAATAAAATTATTCTTAAAAGCAAGCACAGACATGAATATATAACACACTAATGGACAGTGAGTGAGTCCAGGTTAGCTTGTAAGTAAAAACTTGTGAAAGGGGAGCAGGAAAATGAAAAAAGTAAAAGAAGGAGCACAAAAAAGCCCAAAAGACTCTTCAAAAGCATTTTGTCCAGGAGAGGATAAAGAATAGGAAGAACATTTGAACTGAGTACTATCAGGAAAAGGTGCGCAAAACAATCAACAAAACTTGATTTTTCCTGAGCTTGGGAAACCAGAACTTTTGAAATTATTTGAAAATACTTGTACAGAATTGCATGGCAGCAACATTTGTTCATGTACATTCTACCTACCTGGCACTGAATACTTTTTTTGACTAGTTGTCCTTGTCTGAAAGCAGCTTGGGCAGTGGGAAATTGTCAGCTGATTTAACCAGAGAAAAATAGTTCAAACTACAAGACTTAAGGGATAGATTTTACTGAATGTACAGAATAACTTCCAAAGAATCATGTTAACACAGTTCATATCAAATGCTTTGAAAGATGGCAGTAGTGTTGAGCATTTATAACAAAGAAAATACCATGATCTGCATTGTAGAAAAAAATAGTCTGGCTACAATCATAAAAAGTGACTGTACAGCAATTCCCCTACTGAATTTGGGAGTGTGCTTCAATTGTGAACCATATCAACCTCTGAAATGTGTCTTTGATCCAGCTTAGCATTTTTAGAAAAGTAGATGTTGATAAAATATTTTTGCCCAGCTTATAAAACAACTAGTAATATTTTAGAATTAGTGGTCTGAAAAACAAGTCTTAGCTTTGGGGCTTCCTCACTGGTGTGAAATATATGTCAATATTTGCACATCTCTTCTGAAGTTAAACACTTTAATTCTTTGCCATTTGCCTTTCCCATTAGCTGGCTGAGCTAGTGTGCATATGGGTATTATCAAGAATTATGCATTTTGGGGCCTGTTTCCAGTCTGAGCGAAGCAGTCTGATTTCAGATAGGTCACTCAGATGACCTGATAAGACCAAACAACTTTTCTGTTTTACAGCTGTAGACACCTGACAAACTATTAGAGATAACTGCACTTTACAACATGTATCCTCTTACTGTGTAATTGTATAAAAAAGCAGAGATATTGTGAAATAACTGGCATGAGTGAGACTTTATTATGAATCTTTCTTATTACGGTGGTACCCATCAAGATAGGGACTGAATACTGTGCAAACAAATAAAACTGAATACTTTGCATTTCTCATCTATTGGACAGACTGACTGTCATCAGTTCTGGAAAAATGAATTGTATAATTTTTAAGGATTCTTCCTAACACAAAGACCATTAAAGCCAGAGGAATGACTCCTTTGTAAATGTTGATTTTTGATTCAATTTTATAATGGAACTGTAGCTTTGCTGTTTATGCCCTGAGTAGAGAACTACACACATGAAGAATGTGAATGTCTTCTCCAGTGAATGTCTCCCCTCAGTCTGTTCCACGCTGCTTTTCTTTGGCTGTCACCACTGCAGAAAGCAGCTCACATGTCCTGGAACTGGAGGACACAGATGTGGCAATTTAGGAACTTCCAAACACTGACGTCTTGGAACTCAAACCACCTCTTGCTTGGTCATTCTTATCAGATACCTTGGCAGTCTGCTCATTCAGAGTCATGCTCAGAGGCAAGGATACCAATAACCCCGTGAGATGCTCTGACATTATCACTGGAATCCAGAGAAGAATTGCTGGCATAAAGTAGACAAAATAAATCTAAAAATGGGCCTGGAGTTGTGCATGTAACTAGAAAGATCATTGATAGTTTAGCTAGAAAAATGGAATTTAATTTCCCCACAGCAATCTATGAATGTCTCATCTTTCCTTTATACTCTTGCCTAACCATGTCTGGAACCTGGACAGGGGTGAGAAAGGACTGGGAAATATTTCACATATGGGAATATATGGCATATATTTCAACTCTGTGTTCATGTATGTATGTTCATGTATCTTGCAGGTGTAATGTCAGTAGTTGTCAGTTACTCACAGACACATTCTTATCTTTTATCACTGTTCACATTATCTTGAACTTTAAAGCCTGGAAAGAATACATTTTGGAACAGCAAACACCTTCTAGATCCAGGTGCAACGCAGTGTGTCCAGGAATGCTCAAGGCTAAGTCCTTTTGCAACTGCAGTTTTGTTACCTTGGAAAAAACAGAACTGACCATTGTTTAAGGAAGTTAAGTAGAAGTTGCCTTTGGTTCTTACTCAGCTGAAAGATGTGCTGTAACTCTGGATATGTCACTGGGAATCCATGTCCTGTGTACAATATGAGAAAGAGAAAGAAAGTCATACATTTGATTTGTATGGCTTCACTCAGTACTAGACCTGGATAATATTTTAAATTTTTCACAATCAAAAAAGCACTGCTCAAGGCTGTTTCCTCAGCTGGCCTGTAGTTCCAGAGTCTGACAGAAATGATGCAGGTGTGTTGAAGAATCAGACTGAGAGGAATTACACATTCACAACACTCAGATGATGTTGGAGGATTTATTTTTTCTGAGTACTCAGACAGTTTCCTTGCAATTATCTTGCACATCATCTTAGCCTAGAAGCAATGCTGTGGAATAAATGAAGTAAGAGTCACTGTGTATTTTTTCCTTTTTTTCTTTCATCCTTCAAGAAGCCAGTAGTGATACTTATTTATATTTTTTTATCTTGTTTTTCCAAAAAAATAAACTAAATTCACAGTAATTTTATCTGAGGGTGTTCTTTCTCATTCTGCTCTTAGAATCATTACATTGCTATGCAGAGATAACAACTTACTGAAATGTTCTGACATTTACAATGGCCATTTTCATTAAGTTCTCTTCTTGAGTATCCTTCTGAATTTTGCTTTGCAGTCATGGTGACTTTGTAGGTCTCAAGGGATCATCTTTTACATAATTTCTGTATTCCATTGCTCTACGGGCTAAAAATTTTAAATAGAGAGAATTGGAATTGTAGTAGCTATAGTTGAAACAACAGGACTATTTAGAAATTATATATGATAAAACTAGAGTTATATCTGAGGAAACCAGAAATATTCAATACAAATATTCTTTGTAGAGTATTGCTGAAACCCACAGTATCTCCATCATAGTTCTGAAATATCTTGGGTTTGGAATTTCTATGCCCAAACCTACCCTCCTTAGAGAATTTAGTTGCTCACATTTACAATTTATGTTTGGAAATGGTCTGTACTTTACCAGATCTAATTAGCATTGTACAGTAGATTTTATTTATAAATATCATTCCTTTAGAAAGCTTTTTGTCTCAAGAGAACTGCATATTGTTCCATTAACAAGCTTCTCCCCTTCTGATATATTTTTGTGGAAAAAAGAGCATGGTTTAAATTTTCTCGCTTATCTATGGTAAGTCCCTGAAGATGATGGGACATTTTTGGCTGTAGGAGTTGGCACTGGCAACACTGCTAATAAAAGTAAAATATCATAGAAATTAACACCAACCCAAATTCACCTCTGAAAAGAGCATCAGTCAGTTAGCAATAAAAATTGAGGTCTTGCATGTGGCTTGCTCTGTCAGTTCTAACATCATCTGGAATATTGCACATTCATCAGGTACTTTGTCATGACTTTGGCAGAAAAAGTAATGAATGGAAATGAGGAGTTTGTGTGCCTACATCCATTAATGGTTTCATGTACTTACATGCAATGCTGATATGCTGATGGCTGGAATCCTTGAGCAGCCACAGCAGGTCACAGCAAACCCTGCAACCCATTTTCTGAGCCTTATAGCTCATTTTTCATGCTGCTGGTAGCTCTTACTACATGGAAAGGAAATTGCTGATTATCTATTTTTGGTATGATTAATCTTTGTGACTTTAGATTCCTTTTTACAGCCCATAATATCTCTGCTCTCAGTATGTCCTCAGGAACTCTTAAATTAAGGAGCCCACAGTTTATATGAGCCTGTCTGCTATATTGTCAGATGTTACCTTTTGCCCATTAATGTCTTTTGAAGTTCTTGATTTCTAGCCAAATATCTGACAGTAAAATCAGTATGATGCTTCTATCCCATTTCTGGAAATAAGTTAATTAGACTCCCTTAGGGTCCTGAAAAAAAAGCCTCTTATCTTTTGTCAGGTTAATTTCTGCTGTATCCATTTGTGTTAGTGCTATGTGAAAAAATACCCTTATTCTATTGCCTATTTAGTTCACCTTTTTATTAATTTTTCGTTGCTCTTCACAGACTTCAGAATTTATCTTAAAACAAGTAATCTGGAAATTAGAAAATAAGATCTAAAAAACATATTTCTATTAATCTTGCATCTCCTCAAAGCATAAATCACAACAACTATTACAGGGAGTTAAGCTCATGTCAGAGACAATTTTGAGAGGAAAATTGTGCAAGAATCAAAAAGAATGGGAAGCAGGAGAGAAGACGCTCCTGAGTGTTAGCACTTGTTATCATCCACAAGGATGTGCATCAGCTTTCAGAAAAGTAATTTTTCTTTCTTTTATTTGTACAGCTCCTTCCAGTTTAAATGAAATGATGATTTGCTGAGAATTGCTACTGATAAAAGCATAATGGTTTGAAAGGTCTATGAAAGGCAAGTTAATGAAGTGGAGCTGTTTAGTCTCTTCATTCTGGTCACTCTGTACTCAAAAGTAAATTGCTTATCTCTAGTTCTGCCTTATCTAGGAAATGTGTGCATTATTGCATTTAAAGATGGTAATTTTCCAATCAGAAACACGCCTCATGATAGCTGCAGTTGTTTATCATTCATATTAGAATTAGAATAAAGGAACATAAAGTTAACTCCAGTATAGCCAGTTACTCCAGTAAGTTCCTTTGTTATATAGAAAAAGAAAGCATAATCTACAGATATGCATATTGTACTCTTCTGGTGTGGTAGTGGTCTGTTTGTCAGTCTTTATATGGGTTCATCCACAGCAATGCAAAGATTAGGAAGTGATGTTTAAAAATACCCTGTGCCTAGCTAAGAAGGACATAGAGCTGACACAAATTCATCTCAGAGGAAAATAAACTAATGGACCTTGAAGTAACTGAAAATACAGTGCCTGAAGAAAACATAGCAAGGAATAGAATCAACTTACTATGTTTGATTATACTGTAAAAAAAATTGCAGTCTTCACACTAGTGGGTTGAAGCAATTCCCAGCTTTCATTTTGCTTTGCTATTAAAAGACTTCCTTTATATCTCAAGTCTCTGGCCCCATTTTCTATGGTGAAACAAAGCCATTAACCAATTGATAACTCTACCAAAATGTGACTTTATTCCAGTGAGGAGCTTTGTATGTGGCTTTTCAAAAGTGAGAACTCTCAGGAGTTCTCAAAGTGCATTCAATTGCCCACAATTGCTTCCGATAGGCACTATTCAATAAAGTCAATGAACAAATTTACAGATAAGAGTCAAATAATAAGATCAGAAAAGACAACATCTCCCACACTTAAGAGTAGTGTAAACTGGCCTGAGAAGGACCCAGGAGGCCCTTATTGAGTTCTGAATATTGCTGAATTGCAAGGCTAGCAGCTGCACTGCTGTGTAAGTACAATAGAGCAGCATCTGTTGGCTAACACCTCAGATTAAAGAACAGCCAGTCTCATAGGAGAGCTGCTTTGCTGTTTTTTTCTGTGCTTCCATAGCAACATAACCTCAGCTACAGCCTTCCTCTCACACCAACATAAAGCAAAATGCATTCATGCTTCTTGGCTCACTAAGAGCCTACTCTGTGTATGCCTTCAGCATCCCACTGCACAAGTTCCCTGGCAGCATCCCACTGTCTCCGTGTAAAGGGAGATGCTCTGAGTGTCAGACACTGTGTCTGTCCGCTCTTCCTTGTTCTCCTTTTGCCAAGAGCAGACAGTTTTGTGAGAAGCTCAGTTTTCTTCTCCCACTCCTGAATCCACCACATTCCCCCTGCCAGGGGTCCTGTGCTCAGCCTGTGCCCTCCAGGATTCCTGCTCAGGGGCAGGAGCAGCACACACGATCTGCCCTTTGCCTCTTCCCTGTGTAAGTGTCCATCCCTCAACAGAGGGGCTGAGCAGGGCTCTTGTGTTACTACAAGCCTTTAGTGGAAGCAGTCATTTGCTTGGTAGGTAACTTTAGGAACTCAAAAACACCTTTCATATTTCTCCCAGATTATTATACTCTTGGCAAGAAGACTACTATTGCCTGGGATTCTAGAATTCATGAATGCCTCAGGGAAAAATATCCTAAGAATCATGGGTGGAGAGAAAAAAAAATATCTAAATTCTCTTGAGTTCAGCCTAAAATTTTACAAGTCAAGCCTGGTGCTGCACTCCTTCCAGAATTGTGGGAAGAGAAGAATTCAGCTTTAGTGAAGATTTTGGGGGATATCATGCGAGTGCATGATGACCTCTCATGTGATTTGGCTGGCGCCCTCAGCCCTCATCTTGTGAGGTGGCCACAAGACGGAGTCCCTGATTAGTGTGAATCATCAGGACACTTGATGCTTTCATGTTCCTTCCATGGCCTCTCCTAAAGATGTAAATTTCATTCAAATTAAAAAAGAAAAAAAGACAAAAAAAATCAGGAAAATGAGAAAGTTTCCAGGAGTGTTTGGGTGGTCTCTGTTTCCTTTATGCTCCTGATTTCACCAAAAGTTGCATGAGCCTGTTCAAGTACCCGTATTTTTAATTCCTTACTAGTGTAGCAAAATCCTTCCCTCTCACTTTATGTGCTTTCACACTACAGACTACCTGAATATATTTAAGGATATCATGGTCATATTCTTAAGGAGAATATACTTAATTTAAAATCTTTCCTATAATGCAATATTCTATGACTCAGTTTTTGATGCACAGCATAACATATTTATACAATTAAGTTTCTTATTAAACATGAAAAGCCAGAAAGCATTCCTCCTGATATATTACTATCCTACTTCACATCTTTATTTTCTTTCTTTCTGAAAGAAGTTGCCTTTTGGGATGTCTTTTGAGAAGCTGCATTTTTGAGTGTCAAAAGGAGTCTGGGACTCAACTCTTCTGGTTGAATTATTCCTCTGAGATTCACCATCAAGATTCCTTATATTTCCTTGTCAAGGTCCAGCACTGCAGGTTCTGAAGGGGCTGCTAAGAATTTGTTTTAGATACTGCAAAATAACAGTCTGGGGATACAGTAGGAATTGGATCTGGACTAGCAGTGTGATTAGCCTATTCTAAAGCAGCTGTTATGGATTTTCTACAAAATCTGGTTCCAGATAGGGAAGTGTTTGTTCAATTACTGCTACACATAGCTTGTTCTGCTCCTCTTTTGATAGCATCTGCTATAGCCATCTGATAAAATTTTTACATTTTAAATATGCTAATGTTCATATCATGTTCCATGTATGGAATGAGTTCTTGTATTATTTCTGGTTTTTGGCCTCAAGGATGAGAATTCTGGGATAGATTAGATCTTTCTAATGTGAGGATTAAGCTTTCAGAACTCTAAACCATGACAATTGTAAAAAGTAATTAATATTTAGTGTGATTTCTTTCCTAGTCTTCACAGGCAACATGATTTAAGCATACTAAAGCAGAGTTTTTAATAATTAGAATCACCAGATTAAAGCAGAGGGTTTTTTTTTTTCTTTTTACAGCAAGTAAAAACATTTATCATCAGCTACAGAATCAGTTTTTTAATCTAATGACTAAAAATTGCTGTTTTCACTTTCTGAAAATTTTTGCCTATAGTTTCAACATGACATCAGCTTAGATGAAATAAAGCTTCAGTGTATGGGTTGAAATCATAGGGAAAATTAGAATTATCCTGTTTTTATTTGGTTTTATTATCTTGTCCTCAAGTATAGAGAATTTTCCCTTATATATTCAATGTTACTTCACTTCATATATCGCATCCCTCTTAAAGATATTAGTATTTTTCATGGCTTTTTTGGGCTCTTTTTCAGGCACTTCATGAAAGTCAAAGATATGATCTTTG